CTCTTCTCTCTCTTCTCTGCTCCATCTCCCCTTTCCACCGACCAACGCTTGATATAAAAAAAAATGTCCGATATGATATTCCCAACAACTTCTGCAATCTGCCTTCGTTCATACCTTCTTTTTTTGCCTGTCCTCCTCTTATCCTCCATTTCACTTACGCTCCCTCTCTTTTCCCGACCATTTCTTCTGTAATTCGCGTAACAACTACATATACCATCTTTCTTCTCTTTTTCCCTCTTTCCCCATATCTCTCCTTACTCTCCTCTCCCTTCTCCTGCTCTCTCTCACTTTCCAGACCAACCTTTGATATAAAAAATGCCAATACAAATTTCCCCCTGACACGACATAACTGACCAGTCACCCATAATCCCCCACCTGCTGATTATCCCTTTTTTTCGCTTCCTCCTTTATCACCGTTTCCTTCGTCCCTCTCCCTTCATGGCAAGTGGCCCGCGTGCAGTCGCTGAGGCGGAACCTGACCCAAGGACACGCGTGTGTTGAGTCACGGACAGACCGCTCCAAGCTCACTGGCGTCGTCTCCACCAATCGGAAGGTGAGGCTCGCCCGCGCGAACGCACCACGCGATAGGAACACCAAACACACAGACATACTAAAAAAACACAGACTCACAATGCACCACAGACTTCACATGCAGAACACACATTACAGACACACACAGAACTACATAAACATACAGACTCACATACAGGCCACACATAAAACAACACACACTCAGCATACAGATACACACAGACATACACACACATACAATACATACACACACATTACAGATACCACACAGACACATACAGACCACAAAACACAAAACGAGATAAACACACAGACTCACATACACATCACACACGCTACACAAAGACAGAACACATAAACCACCACAAACAGCAGATACAGATACAAAAAACACATACCACACGCAGAGACTCACATGCACACACATACAGAATACACACAGACAACATACAGAACACAAAACACACCAAAACATCCACACGAAATAAACACCACAAGACTCCACAACACAACACACACCGTACACACATACAGACACGAACTAAACCTATACATACAGATACAGATAACCACTGTCCTCAAAAAAACAACATACACACGCAGAGACTCACATCGCACTACACATTACAGATACAATAACACACAAAAACACATTACACACGCAGAGACTCACACTGCACACACACTTACAGATCACATTACACACACACAGCACCAATCTAGCACACAAAACACATAACACACAGGACTCACATATAGACACATTACACGCACATACAGATACACACAAGACACATACAGAAACACACAGACACATAAAACACTAACAGACACTCACAATACCAGATAGATACAACACAGACACAACACACACATACAGATACATACAGACACATACACACGCAGAACACATACCACACACATAACATACACAACACGACACAATAATACACACCACAGAGACTCACACACAACACTATCAAACACACACAGGCTCGACTATGACAAAGCACAGGCCGCAAGACAGACAGACCACACTGACACACGCACTTGCAAAAGCCCCACCCATACACAGAAGAAGCCACACAAACACAACACACACATTTTACAACACCAACAGCAACAGACTGACAAGCACTCAAGAGATAGGCAGGAGTAGATAAGCATAGATAATTATATGAATATCTATAGATAAAACCTACTATCTTAAATAGATAAATTAACTACTATATCCAGATAGACTGCTATACAAATATATACAAACATACACCACCACACACACCACACACACACACACAACACACACACACACACCACACACACACGCACACACCAATATATTATAATAATATATAATATATATATTACTGATATTTATTAAGTATAATACTATATATTATAGCTTAGAGTAATAGACTCGAAAATAGATGATGGTAATATGTATAGATAAATATATAAATAGATGAGGAGTGCATCAACTATGTAATATATAGATAGACAATAATATATATACTATATAAATACTAGATGATACTATATAGTGTATTATTAATATATATAGATAGTATATATTATTATAACATACATATATATATATATATATATATATTATATATATTATATATACTATAATAAATAACAAAACTATATAATAGTATAGCGTATATTATATATAAGTAGAGAGAGAGAGAGAGAAAGGAGACGAGACGAATGAGAAAATGGAGATGAGGACTGAGTCGATGGATCACGAGAGCGAGAGACAATTAGGCGCAGGTAGATAGTCAATATAGAACAATATCAGATTAGCAAGAGATAATTACAAAAGTAAGACAAGATAGAAATGAATAGAGATAGATAGATATAGGTGAGTATACAGTATGAATAGATGGCAATAATTAGATTAGCGTAGTGGATAGATACATACATACATAGAGAGAGAGAGAGAGAGAGAGAGAGAGAAGACAGAGATTGAAGAAGAGAGCATATGACAAGACAGCAGGAAGATAGAGATAGAGAGAGAGAGGCGAGTAGAGTAGAGAGAGAGAGAGAATAGATGAGAGAAATAGAAGAGAGAAGAGAGATGAGAGAGATTAAGAGAGAGAGCAGAGAGAGCAGAGAGAGACAGAGAAGAGAGAGAGAGAGCAGACGAGAGAGAGAGAGAGAGACAGACACAGACAACCAGACAAAACTAAAAAAAAAAAAAAAAAAAAAAAAAAAAAAAAAAAAAAAAAAAAAAAAAAAAAAAAAAAAAAAAAAAAAGCAGACCTATACTCCAACGCCCTTCCCTCCTCCTGCCCCTCCTTCAGTCGTGTGCTCAAGGACGGCGCCGAGATGGAGTTCGCCCCTCGGTCCTCGGCGAAGAAGGTCGGCGGAGCTTCCCGGGAACACCGTCGCCTCCACCATCTACATCGACGGCGTCTCCTTCAGCGACAACGGCCACTACGTCTGCTACATCCCCGGCGCCTCCAAGGACATCCTTAATCCAATATCGAAGGTCGTGAAGCTGCGTGTTTGGGGGCGGGGGCGGGGAGGGGGTGGGGAGCGGCGGGGAGGGAGGATGTAGAGTGGTGTATGGAAGTACGCGATGGTGTTACTGGGAATGCATGGCGTGGGAGAGTAGCGTGCTGTCGTCAGCTGCCGTGCGAGATCAGTCCACCACACACACCGATCGGTCGGTAGTTTCGTGTTTTGGGCGGGGGGTGGGGGTGGGTTTTACTCGTTTCTGGTGGCTCCGCGTGTAAGCATGTACGTAGCCGAGTGCTAAAGTAGCGCTTCATGGTGTATTGACTGTGTGAAGAATCGTACCGTCCGCGACTCCAGTGAAACAGCTGGACGTGGGATGTCGAGCTTCTGGATGGTGAATTGGTGCGTTAAGTCGGAAAGTACGCGCCATCGATGGTCGCGAGAGTAATGGTGTGTGAGTTGACCTTGTACGCACGATGTCGTGAAGTGGTCGTAGTGTAGTAAGTACAGTGCGTAGTGAATGGCGCGAAGTAGTGGTGTGTGAGTTGAGAAGCTGTGTTGGCTGTGGAAGTGTGGCGATTTTGCATAAAAAGTGATGATTGATCGACACCGTGGCGTTCTGTTATATTTGTTCTCCCTTTTTATTAACAATCTTTATCGTAAATCAATATAAATCCAGACACATATATCCGAGACAAATAAATAACTGCATTTTTTTCAATCTATCTATCCATCATTTACCATCATTACGTTTCGTATACTTATTTTCGTAATCTATAAAAATAGATATGCTAATGAAAAAGATCTGCATTTTTTCAATCTATCTATCCATCATACCCATCACTACGTTCTATACTTATTTTCGTAATCTATAAAATAGATATGCGTGAAATGAAATAGATCTGCAATTTTTTATTCACTCATCTATCTATCCATTCATTTACCCATCACTACGTTTATACTTATTTTCGTAATCTATAAAATAGATATGCTGAAATGAAATAGATCTGCATTTTTTTATTCACTCATCTATCTATCCATTCATTTACCCATCACTACGTTTATACATTATTTTCGTAATCTATAAAATAGATATGCTGAAATGAAATAGATCTGCATTTTTCCTCATCTATCTATCCCATTCACCCATCACTACGTTTCTATACTTATTTTCGGTAATCTATAAAATAGATATGCTGAAATGAAATAGATCTGCATTTTTTTATTCACTCATCTATCTATCCATTCATTTACCCATCACTACGTTTCTATACTTATTTTCGTAATCTATAAAATAGATATGCTGAAATGAAATAGATCTGCATTTTTTCAATCTATCTATCCATTCATTTACCCATCACTACGTTTTATACTTATTTTCGTAATCTATAAAATAGATATGCTGAAATGAAATAGATCTGCATTTTTTTTATTCACTCATCTATCTATCCATTCATTTACCCATCACTACGTTTTATACTTATTTTCGTAATCTATAAAATAGATATGCTGAAATGAAATAGATCTGCATTTTTTTTTATTCACTCATCTATCTATCCATTCATTTACCCATCACTACGTTTTTATTACTTTTTCGTAATCTATAAAATAGATATGCCTGAAATGAAATAGATCTGCATTTTTTTTCAATCTATCTATCCATTCATTTACCATCACTACGTTTTTATACTTATTTTCGTAATCTATAAAAATAGATATGCTGAAATGAAATAGATCTGCATTTTTTATTCACTCATCTATCTATCCATTCATTTACCCATCACTACGTTTCTATACTTATTTTCGTAATCTATAAAAATAGATATGCTGAAATGAAATAGATCTGCATTTTTTTAAATCTATCTATCCATCATTTACCCATCACTACGTTTATATACTTATTTTCGTAATCTATAAATACATATGCTGAAATGAAATAGATCTCATTTTTATTTCACTCATCTATCTATCCATTCATTTACCCCATCACTACGTTTTATACTTATTTTCGTAATCTATAAATAGATATCTGAAATGAAATAGATCTGCATTTTTTATTCACTCATCTATCTATCCATTCAATTACCCATCACTACGTTTTATACTTATTTTCGTAATCTATAAAATAGATATGCTGAAATGAAATAGATCTGCATTTTTTTTATTCACTCATCTATCTATCCATTCATTTACCCATCACTACGTTTTATACTTATTTTCGTAATCTAAAATAGATATGCTGCAAATGAATAGATCTGCATTTTTTTCAATCTATCTATCCATTCATTTACCATCACTACGTTTTATACTTATTTTCGTAATCTATAAAATAGATATGCTGAAATGAAATAGATCTGCATTTTTTTTATTCACTCATCTATCTATCCATTCATTTCCCCATCACTACGTTTCTATACTTATTTTCTTTACCCCCCCCCACGTCAAGGTCGACCTCCAAGGTTATTAGGGGTAACAGGAGGAAACTTTTTCGAGGACGAGCCACTCACACTCCGCTGTTCCACGCAATACGCCAAGCATAATCAGGTATTTAATTGATCGATAATTTTATGTCTTAGTCTTTATTATTATTATTTCTTATTTTACATCTTTATTCCTTATTATATTTTTTTACTTGATGGTGATAATAAGGATGGTGATAAAAGCAAGAATAACAGTAAAAGTGATGATAATAGTTATTATTTTGTGTCTTATTCCTTATTATTTTTTACTTGATGGTTGATAATAAGTGATGGTGAAAAGCAGAATAACAGTAAAGTGATGATAATAGTTATTATTTTTGTGTCTACTTTCTTACCTTTATTCCTTATCTATTTTTTTTACTGATGGTGATAATAAGGATTGATGATGAAAGCAAGAATAACAGTAAAAAGTGATGATAAATAGTTATTATTTTTGTGTCTACTTTCTTACATCTTTATTCCTTATTATATTTTTTTACTTGATGGTGATAATAAGGATGGTGCATTGAAAGCAAGAATAACAGTTAAAAGTGATGATAATAGTTATTATTTTTTTGGTCTACTTTCTTACATCTTTAATTCCCCTTATTATTATTTTTTTTACCTTGATGGTGATAATAATTATCGGGTGGGGTATAAAAAATTAAAAGCAAGAATAACAGTGTTAAAGTAAATTTGATGATATTTAATAGTTATATTATTATGGTCTACTTTTCTTACGTTTTTATTCCCCTTATTATATTTTCATCTGAATGCGTGATAATAAGCGATTTGGTGATAAATAACATGAAATAAACAGGTTAAAATGATGATAATTAGTTTTATTTTATGTGTCACTTTCTTACCTTATCCTTATTAATATTTTTTTAACTTGAATGTTGGATAATAGCGAGGTCTGATAGAAGCAAGAGATAACAAGTAAAAGTGATCGTGATAATAGTTACTTATTTTTGTGTGTACCTTACTTTCTTACATCTTTATTCTTATCATATTTTTTTATGATGGTATAATCAAGGCATGGTGATGGTAACATGGATAACAGGTGAAAGTGATTGTAATAGTTATTCATTTTATGTATACTCTTTCTGTACATCTATTATTCTTACTTATATTTTTTTACTGATGGTTTGTATACATAATGGATGGCTGATAATTAAGATGGTTCATTTTAGAAGCCCAAGTAATAAAGTAAAATGCATATAATGTTTATTGATTTGTCTACTATTCTACATCTTATGTTCTGATTCTATTACTTTTACCTAGTTCCGGTATAAATAAGGATGGTGATAATTAAGGCCATGAGTGATGGAAGCAAGGAATAACCCAGTAAAATTCTTGATGATCAAATATTATATTTTGTTTGTCTACTTTCTTTTACATCTTTTATGCTCCATTATTTCTTTCTTTTTACTTGATGGTGATAATAGGCGATTGCGTGATAAAAGCCAAGAAAAACAGTAAAAGTTGTATAATAGTATTATTTTGTGTGTCTACTTTTCTTACGCTTTATTCCTGTATTATATTTCTTTTTACTTGATGGTGAATTAAATAATATAGATGATGATAAAAGCCAGAATAACCAGTAAAAGTTTTTGATTGGGATGATAGTTAATTATTTATGCTGTGTTACTTTTTCTTACATCCCTTAATTCCATATTCTTATTTTTACTTGTGGATGATAATAAGGATTGATTGATAAAAAAGCAAAGCAAAATAACTAGTAAAAGTGTATGATGATAGTTAAATTATTTTTTTGTCTACTTTCTTACATCTTTATTCCTTATATTATTTTTTTACTTGATGGTGATAATAAGGATGGTGATAAAGCGAATAAAACATGAAATAAACAGGTAAAAGTGATGATAATAGTTATGATTTTGTGTCTACTTCTTACGTCTTTATTCCTTATTATATTTTTTTACTTGATGGTGATAATAAGGATGGTGATAAAAGCAAGAATAACAGTAAAAGTGATGATAATAGTGATGATTTTGTGTCTATTTTCTTTTCTTTTTTTTTCTTTATGATGATAATGATGATGTTTGATATTTTCAGCATTATCATTGTTTTCTTTCAAATGTTGTGTTGCTATTGTTTTTATCATTATCCCTGTTATCATTATCATTATTATTATCATTTTCATTACTATCATTATCGTTTTATTATTATATTAATTATTATTAATAAATTAGCATCAATATGATTATTATATATTATATTATTATTATATATTATTATCATTATAGTAATTATTTATTTTTGTATTATTATTATACGTTATTTATCCTTGTTATTATCATTATAACTGTTTATATATTCTTCTTCTTATATTTACCATCATTATCATTATTATTGTTGTAGTTGTTAATGTTATGTTATTATTAATGTCATCATTATCATTATTATTATTAATCTTTATTATCATGATCAACGATATTATGTTCTTATTACTATTTTTCCCCCTCTCCATCTCCCTCCCCCTTCTCCTACCCCTATCCACGCTCCACCTCCCTTTCTCTTCCTCCACCTCCTCCTCCCCCCTATCCACCTGATCCTCCCACCCCTCCCCCTCTCCCCTCCCTCCCTACCCCCCCAATTCACCTCTCTCCTCCCCCTCCCACTCCATCTTCTACCCCACCCCCACCATTCAACTCCTCCCTCTCCGCCTCCCCTTCCCTCCTCTACCCCCCCCCCCCCAATTCACCTCCTCCCTCCGCCCCCTTCCCCCTCCACCCCCTCCTCTACACCCCAATTTACCTCTCCTCCCCCCTCCCACTCCCCCTCACCCCTACATCCCCACTCCCCCATTCACTCTCCCTCTCCCACCTCCAACTCCTACTCTCCCCCCATCCCCCCCATTCAACTCCTCCTCTACCCCCCCCAAATAACCTCCCCCCGCCCCACCCCCCGTTACCACAGAGACCGCCCGTCACGTGGAACTTCGAGGGCCTGCCGCTGGACCCCCGCGGGTACGAGTCCCGGGTCGAGCAGAACGAGTACAACGTGACGGTCCACGAGCTGGTCATCCCCGTGGGGAGGTCCCACCACTCGGGCTCCTACGAGTGCGTGACGGCCTTCGGAGCGCCACCATCTACGTCGACCTCTTCGGTGAGTGGGCGGAGGGCGGGGTGGTGTCTATGGAGGAATATGTGGATGATAGTTATATATATGTATATATATATATATATTATATATAATATATATAATATATATATATATATATATATATATATATTATGTTATGTATATATGTATATATGTGTGGTTGTGTGTGTGTGTGTGTGTGTGTGTGTGTGTGTGTGTGTGTGTGTGTGTGTGTGGTTGTGTGTGTGTGTGTGTGTGTGGCGTGCAATAAGGACAACGAAGGGAAGGACAAGAAAAAACCACAAATATGCCGAAGGCCTTTTCGCTAATGCTTCGTCAGGGCATACATGCATGCCCTGACGAAGCAATAGCGAAAAGGCCTTCGGCATATTCGTGTGTTTTCTTGTCCTTCCCTTCGTTGTTCCTGTTGCAAATCTGTCATCATGAATTCTACACGTGTTGTGTGTGTGTGTGTGTGGTGTGTGTGTGTGTGTGTTGTGTGTGTGTGTGTGTGTGGTGTGTGTGTGTGTGTGTGTTGTGTGTGTGTGTTTGGTGTGTGTGTGTGTGTGTGTTGTGCGTTGTGTGTGTGTGTGTGTGTGTTGTGTGTGTGTGTGTGTGTGTGTGTGTGTGTGTGTGTGTGTGTGTGTTGTGTGCTGGTGTGTGTGTGTGTGTGTGTGAAAGAAAATGGGTAGATAGAAAATAGACATTATAGATAGATAGATAAATAGAAAAAGTAGATAGATAGATAGAAGAGAGAGAGAGCTGATGCTACTAACCACAGCTCAGGAGCATCGGATGAAAAGAGTTCATTGTAAAAAAAAAAAAAAAAAAAAAAAAAAAAGATAAAAAATAAATAAATAAATAAAAGATAAATAATAAAAAAAAAGTATGCAGGAAATGTGAACTGATGCCGTGTTGTTATAACTTTATCAATATTACATTTCTTATGTATTATTGTGAAAAAGTCAAATATTGTGTCTGACATTTTCTAAGTGATATTAAAGGATATAGTGGGTTTTGGGAAAGAGAAAGAGGTAGAAGGAAACAAATATAAAAG